AGGAGCCAGTTGGGAGCTTATGGGTTAGGATTAGAGGGCAGAACAACATGGGTGATGTGATAGGTGTCTGCTGCAGACTGCCTAATCAGGAAGAAGAAATAGATGAAGCCTTCTTCAGACAACTGGAAGAAGCCTCATGTTCAGAAGCCCTGGTCCTCATGGGGGACTTTAACCACCCTGATATCTGCTAGAAAGGCAACTCAGCAGGGCACAAGAAATCTAGGAGATTTCTAGAGTGCATTGATGACAACTTCCTGACACAGGTGATTGAGGAGCCAACAAGGAAAAGTGCTCTGCTGGACTTCATACTTATAAGCGACGTAGAACTGGTTGGGGTTGCAAAAGTTGGAGGTAGCTTTGACTCTAGTGACCATGAGATGTTGGAATGAACTCCTAAGAGGATCCTAAGAAGAGGGAGGAGAGTAAAAAGCAGGACCACAAGCCTGGACTTCAGGACAGCAGACTTTGGCTTCTTCAGGTATTTGCTTGGAAGAATACCATGGAATATGGGTTGCACCCATGAGCGCTGAGGGACCTGGTTGATACCATTGCAAGGATATTCTAAATTGTCTTTGAAAGGTTGTGGTGACTGGGAGAGGTTCCTAAGGACTGGAAGAGAGCAAATATCACCCCTATCTTCAAGAAGGGCATGAAAGAGGACCCAGGGAACTACAGGCTAATCAGCCTCGCATGGGAAGGTGATGGAGCAGCTAATCCTGGAAACCAGTTACAGGCACATGAAGGACAAGAAGGTGATCGGGAGTAGTCAGCGTGGATTTATGAAGGAGAAATCACACCTGGCCAACCTAATAGCCTTCTGCAGTGAGGTGACTAGCTTGGTGGATGAGGGGAGAGCAGTAAGTGTTGTTTTCCTTGACTTTTGTAAAGCCTTTGACATTGTCTCCCTTGACATCCTCATAGAGAAGTACAGGTTAGAAAAATGGACTGAGAATTGGCTGAATGACCAGGCCCAGAAGGTTGTGATCAGTGGCACAAAGTGCAGTTGGAAGCAAGTCACTAGATGTGGCCCTGTCAATAATGGGGCCAATAGTGTTTAACCTCCTCATTAATGCTCTGGATGATGGGACAGAGCGTACCCTCAGCAAGTTTGCAGATGACACAAAACTGGGAGGAGTGGCCGATATGCCAGAGGGTCATGCTGTCATCTAGAGGGACCTGAACAGGCTGGAGAAATGGGCCACCCAGCTGGAAAGCAGCTTGGCAGAAAAGGACCTGGGGGTCCTGGTGGACACCAAGTTGAACATGAGCCAGCAATGTGCCCTTGCAGCAAGGGTGGTCAACAGCATCCTGGGCTGCATTAGGAGGAGTGTTGCCAGCAGGTCGAGGGAGGTGAACCTTCTTTTCTACTCAGAAGTGGTAAGGCTGCATCAGGATTACTGTGTCTAGTTTGGGGCTCCCCAATACAAGAAGGATGTGGAGCTACTGGAGTGAGTTCAGCACAGGGCCACAAAGATGATCAAGGGACTGGAGCACTCTCTCCTATGAGGAGAGACTGAGAGAGCTGTGACTGTTCAGCCTGGAGAAAAGAAGGCTCGGGGGGGTGGGGGGAACAGAACTTATAAATGTATATAAATACCTGATGGGAGGGAGGGAAGAGGGAGCCAGACTCTTCTCGTGATGCCCACTGACAGGACAGGAGGCAATGGGCACAAATTAAAACATAGGGATAGAGAGGGAGAGAAAGGAAATGGAAACTCTCCCCAGTGACCAGTCAGGAAGAGAAGTGGCAGAGGTCCACATGTGAACATCTTTTAGAGTGCAGCAGGGGGGTCACAGTTGCATTGTGGAGGAGTGGGGGTGGGAAAACAACACCCAACCATTTCCCCCCAGCACTATTATATATTGTATCGATGCCCATTCAAGTTTCCCATTGGTGGTCTTTGTTTGACAGTATTGGCATTGATTGGAATATGATTAATTCGGTGCAGATTTTACACATTAATTGGATACTAAGCCTTGTACATATCTGTTGCTGGGTAGTATTTATCAGATATTGAAATGACTGTTATTTCAAGGAACCTTATGAAATTCAACAAGGGCAAGTGTAAGGTCCTGCACCTGGGGAGGAATAACCCCATGCATCAGTACAGGTTAGGGGCTGACCTGCTGGAGAGCAGCTCTGTGGAAAAGGACCTGGGAGTCCTGGTGGACAACAGGATGACCGTGAGCCAGCAATATGCCCTTGTGGCCAAGAAGGCCAATGGCATCCTGGGGTGCATCAAGAAGAGTGTGGCCAGCAGGTCGAGGGAGGTCATCCTCCCCCTCTACTCTGCCCTGGTGAGTCCACATCTGGAGTATTGTGTCCAGTTCTGGGCTCCCCGGTTCAAGAAGGACAGGGAACTGCTGGAAAGGGTCCAGCAAAGGGCTACTAAGATGATTAGGGGATTGGAACATCTTTCTTACGAGGAAAGGCTGAGGCACTTGGGTCTTTTTAGTCTGGAGAAAATAAGACTGAGGGGGTTCTTATTAATGCTTATAAATACTTAAAGGGAAGGCATCAGGGGGATGGGAGCAGTCTTTTTTCAGTGGTGCCCAGTGATAGGACAAGAGGTAATGGGCACAAACTTGAACATAGGAAGTTCCATCTAAACATGAGGAGGGACTTCTTTACTTTGAGGGTGGCAGAGCACTGGAACAGGCTGCCCAGAGAGGTGGTGGAGTCTCCCACTCTGGAGACATTCAAAACCCACCTTGACGCCATCCTGTGCAACCTGCTGTAGGTGACCCTGCTCTGGCAGGGGGGTTGGACTAGATGATCTCCAGAGGTCCCTTCCAACCGTGACCATTCCATTCTGTGATTTGCTTATTATCTATCATGTTTGTTCTAATATGGACATACCAGGTGGATGTGGGGGAGGGAATGACAAACTAAACAGTAGGAAACTCAAACTGCAAAGTGTTGCAGTTAGAAGATAGAGGAGAAACATGGCCCATTGTTTTCTGTGGTGCTTTCTGCAGTAGCCTGAGGCAAATAAAAAACTGGAAGTTTTTTAATGAATCAAGTCTGAAAGTGATATTCCAATCAGTACAGTGTTATTTGCAATTGTATGAATTGATTTTTATACAATTCTCAAATTTGCTGTAGACTTTGGTTATGACAGTGCATGATCACCAAGAGAGGTCGTGGGACCTGGACCATTTGGCAATCATCTATTTTAAAGTTCTTAGACCAAAAGTGGTGTGTTTGATGGCAGGAGAGGGGGGTTAAACCTGGAAATATTTGGTATGTCTTTTTAGATGTTTAGGTGAATATTTCATTATAACTTTAGGTTCAATGGTTATGAAGACAATGATGAACGTTGCCCAGAGATGTTTTATATATGCTTGTAGTTGGTCAGGTTTTGACTCCTACTTCTGTAAGGGGTGTGTTTAGTAGGAATGACATGGTCAGATCATTACCATTTTTAAGTTCAGGGCTCTCCTTTATCTTTTGGGATGAATAGCCTGTTGGATTCTTGAACTTTTCTTTGGAGAGAAACTGAGTTTAGCTTTCAGCAGCTGTCATTTTGGTTATGCTGGAGTTCATAATTTGTCCTTGAATATCAGTATAGTGCTTCCTAATTTATCTTCTGCTATGTGGTCTCATATCTTTTTGGAAGATACATAACTTAAAGAGGCTATCCAATGTCAAAAGTTTATTATATGTATTAATATCTCTTGTTTTAAAGACAGTAAAAATTTGGGCATTCTGTTTCATTTCCCCTCCTTCCTCCATCTGTTATAGTTTTGCATTTCATGTCACAACTTGTATGATGTTGTCAGTAGTATGCATCTTGTGAAGTGTAATCACCTGTGGTGTAAAACTTTGTCATAGGGCAGTATGCTATTTAGGTCTGAGATAAGATGAATTTAACTGGGACATGATTACCCAGGAAAATTCAACTTTCTAACCATTCTCTTCATCCCTCTTCAGGAAGTCTTTACAGAAGTTATTTATTTAAACTTCCTGTCAAATGAGATAACACATTGCTTCCATTGGTTAATTCTTTGCTAAATACTTTATGACACTAATAGGCTAAGAATCTGTAGAAGTTATTTTCAACCAGAAGATTTGTTTATTCTAAATATAACCTATGGGATCCATATAGTATCTTCATAATTTTTAATACATGCTCTATTTGATACTTGTTCTAAATGAATTTTCAGCGGAAAGTGAGCTGAAACCCTTCAGTACTAGAGAAATCTGGCATAAATACAAGCCTCCTGCTTATATGGAATTTAACTTTGGTGTTGGTTGTGCAAGTGTTACAGTAGTTATCTTTGCATGGGATCGAAGATGCTGCCAAGAAATGTGGAATTTTGTCTTGATTATTGTAAGGAAGGCATTTAATTGTAAAGAATTCATAGATTGGCAATGAAAAAAATGTAGGAACCAGGAAAAATAATTAATGAGAACATGAAAAAATAAATTTCTGTAGCTTAGAGAGGAAGGAGTATGATTTATTGAGCAGTGAAATATGAGCTTATTAGGGGTTTTGGCTTGGAGGTGTATGTTTCTAGAGAGTAAGAAGATTCACCAGGATATTTCAAGAAGAGCAGAGAGGAAAAGAAAATTTTATTTTTTAAATATAAAACCATCTGAAGATAAACAAGTACTCTAGAGAAGACTTCCTTTAGAAAATCATAGTGTCTGATCTAAAACCCATCCAAGACAACATGGTGTGTAATTTTCAGAGGGGATGGTGGTCTTTTCATAGACTTAATTGGGTTCCATTGTTTCATGGGGACTTGTGATAACATCTAGAAATTTGATCACAAGGGACTGCTGCATAACTTACTTTATGCTAATTTAAACTGTTCAGACAGAAATTCGCATGGGAACTTAAACAGATGTATATTGCATGATTCTTGATGGTGGGGTGTGGGAGGGTTTTTTTGTGTGATTGTCTACTCTTCTGCCATATAGTATTTGTGTAACTTATCATCTATTTAGGTGCTCCCTGCATTTTTAACGTATTTCCTTCCTCTTCCTGTCGTAGGTAAGCAACTTGAAGAAAATTTTAAAAGGGATACTGGATTATAACCATGAGGTAAGTGCAGTCTTAAGTAATCTACGTTCACTTTTCTTTTGTTATTCACTTCAATGTACAATATAGTCTGCTGATTTATTAGGTCTGGACTTTTTCAGTGTTGGGAACTCGGGGAGTCTTGTAGCCTGTTCTCATGTGTTAGCCCTCTCAAAATTGATTGCCCACAGTACCATACAATCATGTATGTTGGAAGGTACCTTCAGAGGTCATGTAATCCAACCTTCTGCTCAAAGCGGAGCCAACAAGAGCTGGTTGCTCAGGGCCTTGTCCAGTTGAGGTTTGAATACCTCCAAAGATGGAGATCCCACAGCCTCTCTGGGCTGGAGTTCCAGCATTTAACCACCCTCATGGGGAAAAAAGTTTTTCCTTATATCAAATCAGAATTTCCTCTGTTGCAACTTGTGTCTGTTGCCTCTCGTCCTATCACTGTGCATCTTCTCTACACCCTCCCATTAGGTAGTTTTAGACAGCAATAAAAATCTCACCTGAGCCTTCTTTTCTCAAGGCTAAACAAACCCAGATCTCTTAGCTTTTCCTTGTACATCACATGCTCTGGCAAGCAACAAACCTGCCAAGACATCAAGTCAGGTCTGCAGATGGACACCTCCATCCCCTGCAGGAGCGAGCCTCTAGTAACAGTCACCCTGCTTATCTTCTCTGTGTGGACAGTTGGTTGAGGCTCAGCTGGCTCTAATGCCTTCCCTGAAAGGAGGTCATCTTCCTCACTTGTTCCTGGTGCAAATATTCTACCGGAGCTTCCGCATTAGTCTGATATTTAAATTTTGGAATACAAACAGGAGACAGTTTTGATACTGACTCTCTTTTGGTGATGGCCTTAAACGGTGCCTCTGATTTTTCTCCTCTGTTCCAACCAAAGACTGTTTCTTTCTCCCCCCCTTCCCTGGGAAGAGGAGGAGGAGGAAAGAACACTTTTTCCATCTCCTCATTGTAATTTTTAATTAAAATGTTTTAATTCTTGAGTGTTAGAGACTGCCCACTCTGTTATATAGGAGGGTTTTATGCAAATTTAAAGATGAATCACTCCAAACAACAAAGTATTTTTCAGTGGTGAATCTTATGCTTTAAAATTTGCATCTAGTTTGAGTGATGTTTTGTAGTAAATTGGTTAGCACGGTGTGATGCATAGTCTGTTCGTTCATGTTCATTGCATGGGGATATTGCTTGCCCCAAGAAACAGTATTCACTTCTTATAAATACTATGAGTAAGATGACTGCAAATACAGTGAAGTGCTTTAGAACAAATAGTTTTTTCTAAAAAAACCTGAGTACCTGAAGTTAGATTCATAAGTCCATATTCAGTAAATGGTCACCCCTCCAAGTGCTGAATATCCATGCTGAAGTCACCATTTTGAGAGTCAATGTTTGAGCAAATGTTTTATGTCCTGACTTATCTGATCATAGCTGACCTTATTAGAAGGCCATAAGTACATTTTAGAATTAGATTTTTGTGGCTTTTGCCATAAGTTTTTCAGTATGTGTCCTTATACTTGCACCAGTGCCCAAAGTCTGTAACTACTTTGACTTTTCAGTTAAAGTTTAAAAGGATTTTTCATTATAGTCTTTTGGCAGATATCTTTTCTTTGAAGAAGACTAAAGAAAAGTTTCTATATGGCTTCTGAATTAATGAGTACTGATACATTATAATAAAATAATTCTGTCATAGAATGTTAGTATGGCTATGACAAAATGATGGCAGCTCCTTTTCAGCTAGTTGGTATATATGATTGTTAGGTGTCTGATATGACAACTTTATTACCTTACTAAGTCAGCAAGCGACAGGCAATAATGATTGATTTACTAAATTGTACAAATATAAATTACATTTATAAGTGTGCTAAGCGTGACACGCACATGCACCTCCTGCTGTAGGGATGATTTTAGTAACAGCAGAGATGTACTTGCTTCTGCTACTAGCCCTATTTATACTTTTGTTACCAGGGTCTTCCCCCCTGCCTCTGGCAAAGCCCTTTTATGCAGTATAGGTGAGAAAAATGCTTGGATTTTACCTGGTGCAGCTAAAAACCTCTGAAAAGTCTTTTATGACAATTTATTTCATTTTATAGCAGCATCATAATTTGTTGCTTTCAAGATAACAGTCTCTCAGTAGTTGTCCTACACTGGTTGTCTTGTCTATTATAATATGGAAGAACAACAAGCTAAAGGAGGCCCCTGAAATCTTACTGCTTTGGAATTCAAACTTTCATTCTTTCTGTAAAATATTCTACTATTTATTTTCCTCAAATAAATGAAAGGTGTCTGCTTTCATCACAAGACATTTATTCTGGAGCCTAACCTTCCTTTTGTTGTATAACTCATTGAGTTTTGTTGCAGTATTAAAATTGTCTGTTACATTTATTTCATAATCCTAAATTTTCTTCTGTGTTTTCCCCACTTCTTTATGGTACAAGCTAATATACCTCTTCAGCTTCGCCCAACAACTTTTACAAAGCAACTGCATTATCATTAATGGAAAAAAAAATCTTTGCATTAAAAATACAGGCAATAAAAGTTGAAATGTAAATGTGAATCAACTTAGACCATTCAAAAATGCTATGTTTTATTTCATTGTTTCATTTTATATAATAGTAACATTTTCTGTTGTACTTGATGCTTCCATAGAATTCTAATTTTCTTATCACTGACCAAAAAGGAGACATTTTAATAAAAAGCGTACCTCAAATCTTAAAAATAGTCAGATTTTTAGTAGTGTCTGTGTTCATTCTTTGAGCAAGTCCTTAAAAAACCAAACAAATCCAAACCAACAAACAAAAAATCCCCAACCACCTCATGTTTCCTCCAAAGCTCAATCCTGGAAGCTTTTCAACAACTTGATTTCTACATGTTCAACAATTTTCATGTGAAAATTTGCATATAAGCAAAAAAAAAACATTCAGAAAATAAATGCGTGGTTCCTTCTGTGGTCATCGTTTCTCTATTAAACCTTCTTTAAATTGGGCAGTTGCTTTTTGTCTACAATTAAAGTTTCAGAATTGTGTTTAATTGCACATAATATATTCATATCTTCAGCTCCCCGAAAGCTTGCAGAACAGTCTAGCAGAAATATTTAATTACTTCTACAGATAATCATTTATGTAAATTCTTCCTAATTGCAAAGCATTTTCCAATAATTCTCATATGTTTTTCTTGTTTTTCTTAGAGACAACTTAGATTCTTTCTTGCACTTGCTTGCACTAATGTTATCTGGCTCACGCTTTTGCTCATTCTCTCTTGCACTCACATGCTCTCTCACTCATGCACATCCTTTTGCCCCTACTTTCATTATCTCTCCCCCCTCCTTCCACCTCTCGCTTCCCCTCCTCTTCACTCATTTCCCCTCCTCTAGCTTCACCTCCTCTCTCACTTCCCGCACCTCATTTCCCCCTCTCTTGCTTCTCCCATTGTACCCCTCCTGTGTCCCATCCCCCTGCTCACATCCCCCCTCCTTTCCCCTTCTCCCTTCCCCCCCTCTCTCTTCCTCTCTCTCCTCCTGCCTTCACCCCCTCTCCCTTCCCCCCTTTTTCTCTTTCCCCCTCTCTCTTGCTCCCCTTCTCTTGCCTTATATTTCTCTTCCTCACCCTCTACATCTCTGTCCTCTCTTCCCCTCTCACCGTCTTGTTCACCTTCTCACTTGCTCACTTCCTGTCTTTTGCCTTCTCTCTGACTCAATTGCCTTCTCGATTGCTCTCATTCTGCTATTTGCACACTTGCTCACCCCCTCTCTCTCACCCTTTCTCCCGCCCACCCACCTCCTCTCTCGCTCACCCTCTCTCACTTCCATGTGCCCCCTCTCTCACCACATATCTCCCTCTCTCCCTCTCACTCACTTGCCCACGCTCTCTCTAGCCTACCTTCTCTCTCGCCCGCCTTCTCTTCCTAGCTCTCCCTCCCCTTCTCTCTTCCTCACTCCCTTTCTCTCTCGTCTTCTCTCTCTTGCCTTCTCTCTTGCCTTCCCTCTCTCATTCCTTCTTGCCTGCTCTTAGTCTTCTTCTCACCCCCTCTCTCACCTTTTTACCCTCTCTCTTGCCTTCTCTCTCACTCTGGCTCTCTTGCCCTCACCACCTCTCTCACAGTTTCCCCCCTCCTTGAGTGGGTGCCTTCTCTCTCACACCCACTCATGCTTTCTTTCTCTTCATTCTTTTTGTATTTACATTTGCTATCTTTAATTGCATGTTGTACCACTAGGACAGGTCCTTTTCTCATGGATGAGGACTTAGTTGTTTTGGCTCTGGACATACTAAGTATCCTTAGATTAGACCCACAAAACTGTTAGACCAAGTGTTTTACAAACTGAGATTTGTTGTCCATTCGTGCTAGATGTTTTTTATTGAAGTCAAGCATTTAATTTCTGACTTTGCAATTGTATGATTTAGAAATTCAGACTTACTTTATTCCAGATGGAAAGCTTTTAGGCATTAGATCTTTTTAAATGAAAAGAATTAATAAAAAGAATTAATTCATTGAGTGCTGTTGATCAACTTTTTTAGGCCTACCTGCGTTACCTTTCCTTACCTGGAAGAACAAATCTTGTTCTTGATAAGTTTGGAACTAATACTTTGTTATTAGAGACAGCTTTCCAAAATGTCAGTTGTGTCAAGTGATATGGGATGGTTTTATATTTTGAAATATGTATATGAGCTGGTGCAATTTTTTTAGTTTGTTTTAAAGATGGATTTGAAAACTATGCCAAGTTAGAGTAAGTGCTTCCTATTGCCTCTGAATCATCTTTGTATTTTGCAGTGTATGTGTATGTGTATATAGTGATGTACGTATGTATGCAGATTCTAGGGCAACAGATTAACGGCTTCACTCTTCCTGATGTTAACCTGATTGGAGAGCACTCTGATGCTGCAGAGCTTGGGAGAATGCTTCAGCTTATTTTGGGATGTGCGGTGAATTGTGAACAGAAGCAAGGTATTAAATTTTGAAAGTATGTTTTGCTTCCAGGGCAGTTAACGAAAATCTAACTTGCTTTTTAAATCACTGAGGGAAAATGATAGGTTGCTATGAGAGACAAATTTACTTTTTCTAAATCAACACTACTTTATTTTACAGACAATAAGTGTTATATTATGAGCTTTACTAAGTTTGCAGGCTGGAAATGTGGAATTGGTTTTGCTTTCAACATGCATATTTTTAGTTTGGTTGTTGAAGAATCAACAAATGTGATTTACACATCCTTCACTGTGACCCTTGGGTTTAGGAATGTATCCCAATATCTCACTGCATGTCAGAGAGCCTTCGTTGTCACCAGGTGACATCTACTGACAACTGAGACACTAGGGTTTCTGAGACTTCTGCACATGGTTAGCACTGGACTATGGGAGATTGTGCCCTTCTGCACCAGTAGCTGGAGGCCAGGCAGGATATCCCAAGGACATCTAAAGAGTCACTAGAAGCCTATATTTAAGCTACTGAGTCCCACCTCAGCAGTTACTGGAAAACACTTCTATCTCCTCTGGCTTCTGTGGTGCCAGTTCTTTATCTGACCTATACAAGTAAAATGGAGACCCATTCTGTTTCTCTCCATATATGGCAGAGGATTTGCTGGAAGGTTAAAGCATTTCTTCAGGTGTTCCAGGGCCCTTGTTTCATCCTTGAGTGTGTGATGTCTTATTGTGATCCAGTTCCCTTAAATCGCGTTTAACTCAAGTCAGATTGAGGTAAAAATGCAAACACTTTTTCAGAACACTTAAAACCACAGAATCACAGAACGGTTGAGGTTGGAAGGGACCTCTGGAGGTCATCAGGTCCAATGCCTTTGATCAAGCAGGGCCACCTAGAGACAGTTGCCCAGGATCACCTCCATATGGCTTTTTAACATCTCCAAGTATGGAGATTACACAACATCTCTGGGCAACCTGTTCCGGTGCTCAGTCACCCTCACAGTAAAAAAATGTTTCCTGCTGTTCAGACGGAACCTCCTGTTTTTCCATTTGTGCCCATTGCCTCTTGTCCTGTCACCGGACACCACTGAAAAGAGCCTGACTTCATCTTGGTTTCACCTTCCCTTCATGTATTTATATACATTGATGAGATTCCTCCCTGAGCCTTCTCTTCTCTAGAATAAGCAGTCCCAGCTCTCTCAGCCTTTCCTCATAGGAGAGATGCTCCAGTCCCTTAATCATCTTTGTGGCCCTTCATTGGACTCCCAGTAGCTCCATCTCTCTCATGTACTGGGGAGCCCGGAACTGGACACGGGACTCCAGGTGTGGCCTCACCAGTGCTGAATAAAGAGGAAGGATCGCCTCCCTCGACCTGCTAGCAACGCTCCTCCTAATGCAGCCCAGGATACCATTTACCCTTTTTGCTGCTGCCAGGTGCCCATCAAGCCACTCTATCACTCCCATCCTCAGTGAGACAGGGGGGAGAAAATATGATTAAAAACTCATGGGTCGAGATAAAGGCAGTTTAATAAAAAAAGCAAAGGCCACTCACAGAAGCAAAGGAAACGAACAAACAAAAAAATTATTCTCTACTTCCCATCAGCAGGCCACTTCTTGGGAAGTAGGGCCTCAGTATGCGTAGTGGTTGCTTCAGAAGACAAATGCCTTAATAATGAATGCCCCCTCCTCCTGTCCCTTAGCTTTTATTGCTGAACATGACGTCATATGGTATGGAATATCTCTTTGGTCACTTTGGGTCAGCTGTCCCCTCCCAACCTCTTGCCCACCCCCAGCCTGCTGGCCTTTGTGGGGGGAGTTTGGAGAGACAGCCTTGATGCTGTGGGAGCACTGCTCAGCAGTAGCCAAAACATTGGTGTGCTATCAACACTGTTCTAGCTACAAATAGAAAGCACAGCACTATGAGGGCTGCTATGGGGAAAGTTAACTCCATCCCAGCCAGACGCAATACAGGCACGTTGCTGGCTCATGTTCAACCTGGTGTCCACCAGGACTCCCAGGTCCTTTCTGCCAAGCTGCTTTCCAGCTGGGTGCCCCCCAGCATGCACTGGTGCCTGGAGTTATTCCTCCCCAGGTGCAGGGCTTTGCCCTTCCCCTTGTTGAACTTCACGAGGTTCCTGTCAGCCTATTTCTCCAATCTGTCAAAGTCCCTCTGGATGACAGCATGACCCTCTGGCGTATCAGCCACTCCTCCCACTTTTGTATCATCAGCAAACTTGCTGAGGGTATACTCTGCCCCATCATCCAGATCATTAATAAAGATGTTGAACAGGACTGGACCCAGTATTGACCCCTGGGGTACACTGCTAGTCGCTGGTGTCCAACTAGACTTTGTGCCACTGATCACACTCCTCTGGGCCCAGCCATTCAGCCAGTTTTCAACCCACCTCACTGTCTGCTCAACCAGCCCATACAGCTTCTCTAAGAGGATCTTATGGGAGACAGTGTCAAAGGCCTTACTCGGAATCACGGAATCTTCAGAGTTGGAAGGGACCTCTAGAGATCATCTAGTCCAACTCCCCTGCTAAAGCAGGATTGCCTAGAGCACATGACTCAGGACTGCATCCAGGCGGGTCTTGAAAATCTCCAGAGAAGGGGACTCCACAACCTCCCTGGGCAGCCTGTTCCAGTGCTCCGTCACCCTAACCGTAAAGAAGTTTTTCCGTGTATTGGAACGGAACTTCCTATGTTCCAACTTGTGCCCATTGCCCCTCGTCCTGTCACTGGGAACCACTGAGAAGAGTCTGGCTCCATCCTCCTTCAACCCATCCTTTAGATACTCAAATCAAGGTAGTCAATATCCACTGCTCTCCCCTCATCCATCAGGCCAGTCATTTCATCACAGAAGTTTATCAAGTTGGTCAAGCCTGACTTCCCCTTGGTGAAGCCATGCTGACTACTCCTGATGACTTTCTTGTCCTTCATGTGCCTGGAAATGGTTTCCAGGATTAGCTGCTCTATCACCTTCACAGGGACGGAGGTGAGGCTGACCAGCCCGTAGTTCCCTGGGTCCTCCTTCTTGCCCTTCTTGAAGATAGGAGGGACATTTGTTGTCCTCCAGTCCTCAGGCACTTCTCCCCGTCACCATGACTGATCAAAAATTATCAAGAGTGGTCTCAAATGACATCAGCCAGCTCCCTCAGCCCTTGTGGGTGCATCCTATTGGTGCCCATGGACTTATGTATGTCTAGGTTGCTTAAGTATTCCCTGACCCGATTGTCTTCCACCAAGCGTATGTCTTCCTTGCTCCAGTTTTTCCCCCTGGTCACTGGGAAATGGGATTCCTGAAGTTCGAGCTTGCTGTTAAAGACTGAGGGAAAGAAAGCATTCGGTATCTCCGCCTTTCCCATGTCCTTTGTCACTACGTCCCCTGCCCCATTCAGCACTGGGCCCACATTTTCCCTAGTCTTCCTTTTGCCACTTAGGTTGTTTGACAAGCCCTTCTTGTTGCCTTTGACATCCCTTGCCAGATTCAATTCCATTTGCACTTTGGCTCTGTATTCCTCCCAAGATACCCATCTTTGCTTCCACCTTCTGTATATTTTGTTTTGGTGTTTGAGTTTTGTCAGGAGCTCCTTGTTCATCCATACAGGCCTCCTGGAATTTTTACTTGACTTCATATTCCTTGGGATGGAGCTCTTTTGAGCTTGTAGGAAGCAATCCTTCAGTATCAACCAACTTTCTTGGCCCCTGTTTCCCTCCAGATCCCGGGATAATGCCATAGGACTCTACCAAGCAGATCCTTGAAGAGGCCAAAGTCTGGTCTCCTGAAGTCCAGGGCTGTGAGCTTGCTTTTACCTTCCTCTCAGGACCCTGAACTCCACCATCTCATGGGTCACTGCAGCTAAGGCTGCCTTTGACCTTCACATCCCTCATGAGTCCCTCCTTGGTTTTGAGTATGAGGTATAGCAGAGCACCTCTCCTCATTGTTTCCTCTATCGTTGGAGTCAGAAAGTTGTCATTGATGCACTCTAGGAACCTCCTGGAGTGCTTATGCCCTGTTGTGTGGTCCCTCCAGTAGATATTGGGGTTAGTTGCAAGAGTCTTCATAAAAGATGTAGGTGGATAAGTGAAAGAAAAAGCTATGCTTGCTGTATTTATGCTAAGTTTCTATCAAAGGCTGTCTATCCCTAATACACCTCACTTCTATTTCCTTTCTGGCAAAATGGCAGCTCGATTTTCAAGACTGTTGTCTTCCTCTTGTATTGCGTATCTTAGCTTTTAAGCTAATTTCCCCTTTCCAGTTTTCTCAGGGTTCTAAATTGCTTTAAGCTCTCATCCTGAAACTACTTTTATTCTTCCCTTAAGCAGGAGAAAGTCTGGCCATCCTCTTATTTAGAATACAAGCGTTTTCCCTTCCGTAAGTACATAAATAACTATTAATTTAAGCCACCTCTCTTCCACTTGACTGTTTAGTTAACATCTCTGAAGTTGTCCGAGTCAAATACTCTCTGACGAAGTTCTTTTAGATATTCCACACGAGAAGAGTTTAACGTTTAATGTAAAATTTACTTATTTGAAGATATTTGATGTCATATTTTGATTTAGCAGACTGATACAGCAATATACTGAAATCACAATACAAGCATAATATAGCAATTGCAACATACAGTTGAATCACGGTCACACTCAAAGAGTTGTGGTCAACGGCTCCATGTCTAAGTGGCGAGCAGTGAGGAGTGGTGTTCCTCAAGGGTTAGTACTGGGACCACTGCTGTTTAACATCTTTGTCGGTGACATGGATGTTGGGATGGAGTGCACCCTCAGCAAGTTTGCGGTTGACACGCTTGAGAGGAGGGATGCCATCCAGAGGGACCTGGAGAGGCTGGAGAGGTGGGCCTGTGCAAACCTCATGAAGTTCAACAAGGCCAAGCGCAATCCCAAGCACAAATACAGGCTGGGTGGAGAATGGATTGAGAGCAGCCCTGAGGAGAAGGACTTGGGGGTGTTGGTGGATGAGAAACTCAACATGAGCTGGCAATGTGGGGTTGCAGCCCAGAAGGCCAACCGCATCCTGGGCTGCATCAAAAGAACTGTGGCCAGCAGGTCGAGGGAGGTGATTCTGCCCCTCTACTCCACTCTCGTGAGTCCCCACCTGGAGTACTGCATCCAGCTCTGGAGCCCCCAACATAAAAAGGACATGGACCTGTTGGAGCGGGTCCAGAGGAGGGCCACAAAGATGATCAGAGGGCTGGAGCACCTCTCCTATGAAGACAGGCTGAGAGAGTTGGGGTTGTTCAGCCTGGAGAAGGCTCCAGGGAGACCTTATAGCAGCCTTCCAGTATCTGAAGAGCGCCTGCAAGAAGGCTGGAGAGGGACTTTTTACAAGGGCATGGAGTGATCAGATGAGGGGTAATGCCTTTAAACTGGAAGAGGGTAGATTTAGATTGGATATTAGGAACAAATTTTTACAATGAGGGTGGTGAGGCCCTGGAACAGGTTGCCCAGAGAAGTTGTGGAGGCCCCATCCCTGGAGGTGTTCAAGGCCAGGTTGGACGAGGCTTTGAGCAACCTGGTCTAGTGGGAGGTGTCCCTGCCCATGGCAGGGGGGTTGGAACTAGATGATCTTTAAGGTCCCTTCCAACCTAAGCCATTCTATGATTCTATGATACTACAAATGTGATTCCCATTACTGATCTCTCTGTGCTTGCTGTCACAACACTGGGTGTCCCAAGTTGCCTGGAAGGAATACGTGTGTTGAAGTTAGCTCAAGCCCATTGCTCTCTTCATAGTTCATTTTATTAGTTGTCCAATTTTTCTACCTTATGTTGGGCTGAGGCACATATACACTTCCCCCCATGCTAGTCTGACTACCTCAGGAAGCCATTACTCTCTACTAATTATCTCATCTAATGATGACCCACTGGTACAGCCCTATAGCTAAAACAAAGGCTACCCTCCAGTCCCCCTTGTGTCGAGATAAGTTCAGCTTTCTTTACAATAACTGGCAATCATTCCTTACATTCTTCCCTGAGCTCAGCATTCTTGCAGTGTTAGGTTTATGGTTGGACTCGATGATCTTAAAGGTCTTTTCCAACCTAAATGATTCTATGATTCTATGATTCCTCTGATCCTTCTTCCACTGCAGGGGTGTGTTGGTCGGTCACAGAAGTGTAAATTTCTCATTCTTTTTTTGATAGCTGCTTGGCATTTATTAGTGAGGAATGTATCTTTCCTGAACTTTACATATTCTGTCAGTCTAAACATGAAAAACATATGAGATACAGACATCTAAACAGTCTAGTTATATGTAGTTTGAGTATTTACTGTCGTGCCTCTTCTAAATTACTTTGCGGTGGCTGATTCACAACATCTTCCTCTTAGGCAAATCATAACAATGATATGCATGGCATTTGGAAAGAAAAAAAAAAGGTCATGATACCTGGCTGGGATGCATATGATATTGGACAAGTCACAAACTGTGACTCAGTCTAAACATCAGAATTTGACATTCTAACCACTCAATCCTCTTACAGCATGCTTCCAATACAGGTCACATCTATATACAGAAAAAGAAGAGAAAATGTGGAGAGGATTTATTGTATTCTTAGTTCTGTGCTTTCTCAAGACCTCACATGGAAATTCTGTGAAATCAGGGTGCTGTAGAAAGGCAGGACAAGGAGTCAAAAACATGGAAAAAACATGTATTCCTCCGAGGTTACCCTTCCTTGCTTCCACCATCTGTATGCTTACTTTTTGTGTTTGCGTTTGTCTGGGAGCTCCTTATTGATCCATGCAGGCCTCTTGCATTTTTATCTGTCTCCCTACTCGCTAGGACGGTGCTCTCTTGAGCTTGGAGAAGGTGTATTCCAATACAGGTCACATCTATATACAGAAAAAGAAGAGAAAATGTGGAGAGGATTTATTGTATTCTTAGTTCTGTGCTTTCTCAAGACCTCACATGGAAATTCTGTGAAATCAGGGTGCTGTAGAAAGGCAGGACAAGGAGTCAAAAACATGGAAAAAGACAACCCATCATTGGATCCTGTTCTTCTATTGCCTGAATAATTCAGGAACAAAGGGAGAAAAGCACTTGGACAGTTCTTTTGGGAAGTAATGGGGAAGAAAAAAAATGGCTATCATAGGCAAAAAAAAACCCCAAACACGTTGCAGTGTTCTAGTGAGCCTTGATTTATGTCTGAATAGACTTTTTTTTTTTCTATAATGTCTTCTTGAGTTTGCTGGCCTGAAACTTGAAAGGTAATTACAAATTTCAGTTTTATCTGTAGCACCTGCTCAGCTTGTAGCAAAGATACGACTATTGATCTCATTTTCTGTCTGACTTTCTCAAGCTTAAATAGTAACACACCTGAATGCTCTTGTTTTCAGAGTACATACAGACCATAATGATGATGGAAGAATCAGTTCAACATGTTGTCATGACAGCCATTCAGGAGGTATGTTAGTGTCCATAGTGTGTAGGAATTAAGCCTTTCAGTATTGCTAAGAAACATATTTTATTTCACTGTGATGAAGAAGGGGCACAGTTTGCAGTTTTAGAAGAAACATCTTCCTCTTTTGTGTTACAAAAACAAATCAAACAAGCCTTCTTCATGGCAAAGAACTTTGGTTGCATGCTTCAGTTCTCTAGATGTTTAAATCTTCTCAACTGTGGTGGGTTGACCTTTGCTAGCCTCCAGGTGCCCACTGAGCCGCTCTATCACTCCCCCTCCTCAATAGGTGTCGTGGTTTGGCCCCAGGCGGGAACAAAGAACCACGAAGCCGCTCGCTCAACTCCCACAGCCGTGCGCAGAATCAGAAGGAATAAGGCAGAAACTCGTGGGTTGAGATAAAAGCAGTTTAAAGGAACAGCAAAAACAAGAGAAAACAATAACAATAACACCAGTAAAGGAACATACGAACGCTATTACAATGCCGCAGCTCCCCGACCGGATCCGGACCGCCGCAGCCCGCTCCCACCGCACCTTCCTGCCCCCTCCCCCGGCTAGCTCCCCCCCTGCCAACCTGGGCATGGGTCACATGGCATGGAATACCTGTATCCCCTGCTGGCTCCTTGGGAAAATTAACCCCATCCCTGCCAGAACCAGGACAATAGGACAGGGGGAGAAAATGAGATAAGGTCAAGATAAGGACAGGGAGATCACTTACCAACTATCGTCATGGGCACAACAGACTTGACTTGGGGAAATTATTTTAATTTATTGCGAATTAAAAAGAGAATAGAGTAATGAGAAATATAAACAAATCTAAAAACACTTCCCCCCACCTCTTCCTTCTTCCTAGGCTCAACGTCAGTCCTGACTTATCTACCTCCTTCCCCCTGAGCAGTGCAGATGGATGGGCAATAGGGGGTTGCAATCAGGTCATAAATATTCATCTCTGCCATTCCTTCCTCCTCATTTCCCTGCTCTAGAGTGGGGTCCCATCCACATGATACAGTCCCCCATGAACTTCAACATGGGTTCGTCCCACGGGCTGCAGTTCTTCAAGAGCTCCTCCAGTATGGGTCCGTTCCACAGGGTGCAGTCCTTCAGAAACGGACTGCTCCAGAGTGGGTCCCCCGTGGGGTCACAGGTTCTGCCAGAAAACCTGCTCCTGAATGGGCTTCTCTCCACAGGCCGCAGTTCCTGACAGGAGCCTGTTCCAGTGTGGGTTCTCCATGGGGGCACAGCTTCAGGGCACTCCCACCTGTTCCGGCGTGGGGTCCTCCACAGGCTGCAGGGGGATAATATGCGTCACTGTGGTCTTCACCACAGGCTGCAGAGGAATATATGCTTTGGTGTCTGGAACACCTCCTCCCCCTCCTTCTTCATTGACCTTGGTGTCTGCAGAGTTGTTTCACATATTTTCACTCCTCTCCCTTAGCTGCAGTTGCACATAATTTTTTACCCCTCCACTGCCCCTCTTGAGGAATTTGTAGACTGCAATGAGTGAAGAACCTTTTCCTAATGTCCAATTGGAACTTCCCCTGATGCAGCTTCAAACTATTTCCTCATGTCCTATCACTGGTCATCAGAGAGAGGAGATCAGCACCTCCCCCTCCACTGACCCCCTTGAGGTAGTTGTAGATTGTGTTCTTCATTGACCTTGGTGTCTGCAGAGTTGTTTCACATATTTTCACTCCTCTCCCTTAGCTGCAGTTGCACATAATTTTTTACCCCTCCACTGCCCCTCTTGAGGAATTTGTAGACTGCAATGAGTGAAGAACCTTTTCCTAATGTCCAATTGGAACTTCCCCTGATGCAGCTTCAAACTATTTCCTCATGTCCTATCACTGGTCATCAGAGAGAGGAGATCAGCACCTCCCCCTCCACTGACCCCCTTGAGGTAGTTGTAGATTGTGATGAGGTCGCCCCTCAGCCTTCTCTTCTCCAAGCTGAACAAGCCAAGTGACCTCAGCTGTTCCTCATAAGTCTTGCCCTCTAGACCTTTCACCATCTTGTTTACCCTTCTCTGGACACACCCGAATAGTTTGATGTCCTTCTTATATTGAGGCACCCAAACCTGCACACAGTACTCAATGTAAGGCCACACCAGTGCAGTGTAGAGCGGGCCAATCACCTCCCCTGACTGACTAGCTATGCTGTGTTCAATGCACCCCAGGACATAGTTGGCCCTTTTGGCTGCCAGGGCACACTGTTGACTCATATTCAACCTGCCATCAACCCAAACCCCCAGATCTCTTTCCGCAGGGCTGCCCTCCAGCCTCTTGACCCCCAATTTGTATGTATAACCAGGATTACCCTGTCCCAGGTGCAGAATCTGGCACTTGCTCTTGTTAAATTTCATACATTTGGTGATTGCCCAGCTCTCTAGTCTATCCAGATCTCTCTGTAAGGCCTCTCTACCCTCAAGGGAGTCCACAGCTCCTCCTAGTTTAGTATCATCAGCAAACTTACTTAATGTACATTTGACTCCTGCATCCAGATCATTAATAAAAACATTAAAGAGCACTGGTCCTAAAACTGAGCCCTGGGGAACCCCACTGGTGACTGTGTATCTGAACCTTGTATCCACTTCAGGTGGACAAAGTTCATATCAGCAGTCTGTTTCTCTGCTGCTCTCTGTTCTGCTCTGTGACTGGCTGCCAACCTGATGTAACCCCATTTACTATAACTCTTTTCCTTTCTAGGCCTTCACTGGTAATCAAATCGCTTCTGAATGTGAGCAAGAAATGATGAATTCCATGTTTAACAGTAGAGCAATTTCACTATTTCTGTTACATCTCTAAAAGATGTCACTAAAGAGACACCTCTTTAGTGAGCTCACCTCAGTTGAGCCTGAGGACTCTGCTACCTGTTATCTTTTTGACTCATGCTGCATTTTAACAGTCTTGGTTCCTATTGGATGACTATGGAATTATTTCAAGGACTAAAATTGCAGATCGAGAGTTCTTAAAATTAGGATTTAAAAAAAATCCCCAAACTTCCTGCTAGATCAGCTTCTTTTTTCTGTCTAAGTCAGTGCTGTCAGGAACAGGCAAGTGCCAGATTTCCTGCCTAAGTTTTGGGATATTTTTACTATTTTACTTCTGTTTTCTGTTTTTGTTTTGTTTTGTTTTGTTTTTTCAGGGAGCAAAAACATTTCTTTTTTTAGTTATTTGCAACATATCTGTAATATATATAGTTAAAATTTCTTATGGTACTTCTTTCAACCTTAAATTCACCTTATCTGATGTCAGGGTTACTTGGCTATCCATTCCAAGGAGATGATGTTTTGTAAATATTGTGTCTACAACTGCACTCGGTGTGTTATCAGGGGAGCTAAGAAAACTGGCTAGCAGTCAGAGCTCAGCCTCTTTGAGCTACTGCTTGTTAGAACCTTAAAATCTTATGTCTTTGTCTCTTGTTTTGAGCCTGCCCTGATAATTTGCTTTCTGGGGGTGAGGGGTTCTTTGGTCTTAAAATATTTTTAATTTTTAAGTTTATTTCTAGCCTTTTATCTGTTGTAGTTGATCAGTGGGTCAGGTTCCTAAAAGAACACCCCCCCCCCCCCAACATAAGCATGTCAAGCATGTCAGTCAATCTGGGTCTTTTTAAGAAAGTAATGACTTGACAATCATTTTTTTCTCACTAAAACAATTACAAACCATTCTTCTAGTCAGATAGATTAGTCAGAGTGTAAAGAATTGTAATGCTTGTTTCAAAAATACTCATTCTAGAGTATAAATTTTTAATCTGCAAATTCCAGACAAATAGGGAGCAGTAAGCTTGGTCCTCTTTCATTTCTTTATAATTAGTTGAGATACAGATGTTTCAAGACCAAAACTAAGAATGTGGGCTCTCAAAATGGGAAAAGATGAAAACAACTGCCAGAGAACAACTTGAGACCTATCTTGCCTGCTGCATAATAGCTGCCACCAGTCTAATACTGCTTCAATACAGTGCTCTGCAAAGGATAGCATAGCTTTCATGGTAGATAATGAATGTGCTTTTTCAGAAGAGAGAATGACTATGTAAGGTAATGTTTTTCATACTTTAGATATTATAAGTACTGAATATGTCTTTTCATAAATATTTTTTTAAAAACCTCATAAAAAATGAAGTAAAAAATGTTACTGTTGTCAGAAAAAAAAGCTTTAAGATAAACCTAATTTTTCATTGAAATGTATCTTTAATATGCAAATAAATCTTATGTTTTTTCTAATCCAATGTAATCTAATTGCAGTTGATGAGTAAAGAGTCTCCAGTCTCTTTTGGAAATGATGCTTACATTGACCTTGAATGTCAGGTATCCAAGATGAGATGTTTCTTTTCTTTTAATCACAGGAAATCAGTGCTTAATTGTTATGGTTTATTGTTAAGCAGTCTACCTTTTATATTGTGAGAGAGTTTTGTGTAAAATTTGAATAATGGATGCAAAATAAAACTTGACTGTTTTTTAGAGTTATCTGTATAGAAGTACATAAATTCTGGTAGATGGAATTAATTTTTATGTCAGCTGTCCCTTGTAAACTTAAAAAATGAAAGATTATGAACCTGTCTGTGAAAAGTAGTAGGCCCATCTAAATTTTATTATGTTTAATAAAATATATACATATGCTTTAACTATGCGCGTATTTTACCAGACCAATTTTCTTGTAGGTATTTCTTTATTTTCCTGACTATATTCATACAGAAACTTGGAAGATATAAACCCTTTAATTATTATATGGTCCCTTTAAGAGATGTAACAGTGTTTTCACACTGCTTATAAGATTCAGTGTCTTTTTTTCAGATGGGTAGGTTTCTCCATCACAATGTTGATTGTTTCCCCTGTTGTACAGTCAGAGCAGTTCCCAGTGACAAGACAGGTTTTACCTTTAGTGTTTATTCCTTGTATTTTACCTCCCAATCTTTTGTGTATTTGAAAAGTAGATTAAAAACTGAAATTATGTAATCTTTGCATCCAAAAAGAAAAGTGTACCGATGCTTTTTTTTTTCAGTGTACAGATGCAATAGATTCTTCAGAGCTAAGCTGTTTGGTTTGGGGGGGGGACTTAGTTTACAAAATAAATGTGATAACTTCAATGTTTTGTTTCAAGACCAAATATCACCTTCAGCTATATTTACCTTTGTTAGACAAATTAAACAATTATTATAGTTGCTACTTTGTTTCATTGTAGAGGTAGAATTGCTTTTCTTTTTTCCCCAAACTTCAATATTACATAAATGTAAAAAAAGATTTTATAATCATATAATTAATAATTTTGCTATATCATTTATAGAAATTATGAAACTAAAAATGATTGTTGTTTATGATAGCTGAAGAAAACTACAGAAGAATTAAATGAAGCCCTAGCAATAAAAGAAGAAATTGCCCAGAGATGTCATGAGTTAGATATGCAGGTAGGTCATCTTAAATAGAGAAAAAAGTATTTTAATTCTTGGACAGCTGAAGAAAGGGATTATTGTAGAAATCTACTTTTTATAATTATAAAAAAATAATCCCCAATTGCTGTATTTCTTTACCCCTGTTAGCAGAGCAAAAAGTGCATGCCCACTTGTATTGATTCAATTATGTCAGCATTAATGTGGTCGGTACTGACAAAGCTTTTTTGCATTCAAGCAAGAAATGAGCTGTATTGCTCAACTCATGAGTTACAGAAACCCTAGGAGGAGTTTTGCTGGTATAATGATTTCAGTAAAAAGTGCATGCATATGCATAAACTAAGCATAAACTAAGTTTTACTGTAAACTGAGCATATCTGATCTGGAAGGCATCAACAGACTAAACCTGGAACCCAGAAGAGCCATTTAGATCAATTCCTATTTTGGTGTATAATTTGGCTTTTAGCCAAGCAGTAATGACTGGAATTAATGAAACCTTGTGCCTTATTGATTTGATTTGACAGTTGGTTGATTTTGTCGTGTTGGATGCAAGTTCTGATCAAAACTTTCCTTTCTCTTGGGATATGTATATTCTTTCTTTTCCCCTCCTACCTGCATTTTGATTGTATAGTGACTAATAATATGAGCTTATGCTTCAGACGTTCTTTTGTCATAGCACTTTGGCTTCTCTGCCCCACTGCCTGTTTTCACAAAGCTGACAGAAATTTAATCATCTTTAGGACCTCTGTTCCTGTTTCAAGTCTGTTTGCAATTGGTCATTGAGACTTGAATATTCTGTGTGATTGTATAAACATTGTTTCTTTTGGAAAACGTTAAAAAACCTTACTATGGGGTGCTAGGGTGTGTGCGTGGGGTGGTGGTGCTTGAAAAGTAGGCAGACTTTAATACAGTGTCATAATCTTCTTTGATAACTGAGATATTTTTCTTCAGATATTTCTGTGAAATAAAGGTGAGAATGCTGTTTTCTTTATGGCAAATCCTGTCCCTAATGCTGTAGTGCATTGGTTACATCACATATCAAATGAAAAATATTAAAGTTACAATGTGTTCCTGTGAAATAGTTTTGTGAACTTCAGTGTTTCCAGTTATGAGTTGTGATAATGTTTTGCTGTGTGCACCAAAAAATTGCTCTTTGTAGCTGACAGCTCCGTTATTCCAGTCTGTTCTTTTATTACAACAGGTTGCAGCACTTCAAGAGGAGAAGAGCATTTTACTTGCTGAGAACCAGGTTCTGATGGAACGTTTGACTCAATCTGATTCTATAGAAGATCCCAACAGCCCTGCAGGTTGTAGGCACTTGCAGCTGCAGACCCAATTAGAGCAGCTCCAAGAGGAAACATTCAGGTAAAAAAGCCACAAGTGGATAAACTGTAGTTGGCAGCTAGTATCACTTGTATACTTTTGGTTCTACTGGAATTTACGCTAAATTATTATAATGGGTGGCATAAAAACCATATTATTGAAGTTTCTGTTATGATCTACCTGTTTATAAGGTAGACTTTGAAAAATGTGGATTTTTTTTTTAAAAAAAATCCTGAAATGCTGCATCCACTCCCCTTCCCCTCCCCTGGATGTTGTAGCGATTCCTAGCTGAAAGTTTGATATGGAGTATATTGCAGACAGTATTTTTAATAGCAAAGTATTTCATTTTATAATTTTGAAAAAAAAAAATAAATTGCTATCTGAAAGATAAAAACAGTCCTTAAGGTAAGGGTACGTGGAAGAAGAGTGTCTGCTCCTTTAAGGTTATCTGGTCAAGGACCTTTTCACTGCAAAAAAGGGATAATAAGAAAAGAAGGAAACCATAAACAAGAACATACAGGGACACAAACCTAACTGAGAAATGATAAGGGAGGCAGTGACGAGAACCAAACCTGGTCAGTCACACCAAACGATATGCATATGTGAGAGTGTGAGAATGCTTATTCTAGCAAAGTTATCTGATCAAGAAACTCCTAAATTGGGATGATAAGAAAAGGAGAAGACAAAAACCCCAAACATACAGTGACACAGATCTGACAAAACAAACAATGGAGACAATGACAAGAAGCAAAGCACGCCAGTCATACTAATTGATGGGCTATCAAGAAACTACAGGTGCCACTTCCAGGAAGACCAACCAGAATTTTGCAATTGATAAGACACTAAACCAGGAGAGATCCTGGACACTGGACTGGGAGGGGCAAAGGAATCGATAGAACTATACAAATCAATGAAGGAACATGCAGGGGGAAGGAACAAAGAGGGGGTCAGATAGAAAGGGAATAAAATGGGGCTGGTCAGTATGCCCTGTACCTGATCACTGCAGTCTGTTCTAACTTGTTAGTAAATCTTTTCTTAACTGTGTAATCTCTCTATCCTGTGTGTATGTGTGCTGCAAGGACTAACTGCCAGCTATTGGCGAGACTGGTGTGAATAGATTTGGGACCAGCAACTGAAGTCAGACTGGGGCTGTAGGCACCCCACGGCCTGTGGTGTCAGCTACTGGAGCAAGTGAGGGTTCTAAAGTCAGTAGTTGGAGGGACCATAGCTCTCTAGATCTTGGGAGGGTTCTACAGACTTTGTGTTTGGAGCGTGAGCTACTGGGGGGACCAGCACGAGTGGATTTGGTGCCAGCTACTCAAGTCAGACTGAGGGCGTAGGTGCCCCTGGTCAATGGTGTCAGCAACTGGAGCGAGTGAGAGTCTCAGTGCCAGCTACTGTAGCAGGTGGGGGTCTCACCTGTCAGCTACTGGGGTGGGAACAATGTGTGTCCCAAAAACCGTCTACTGGAAGGGACCAGCGCAATTGCGGGTATGTGTGTGCATGTGTGTAAGGACTAGGTGCTGGCTACTGGGGAGACAAGCATGGGTGAATTTGCAGTCAGCTACTGGAGTCAGACTGGGGGTGTAGGTGCCCTGGGCCCGTGGTGCCAGCAACTGGAGCAAGTGGGAGTCTCAGTGCCAGTTACTGGAGCAGGTGGGGGTCTCGGCCACCAGCTACTGGTGCTGGAACAATGTGTGTTCCAAAAAACAGCTATTGGGAGGGATCAGTGTGAATGAGGTGAGTGAGGGGTTCAGTGCGGGCAGCTGGAATGGGACTGCAGGTCATAGCCCACATGCCTGGTGCCGGCTGCTGGGGAGGGCCTGAGTGTCTGTATCTTCCCCAAACCTGGTGCGTGGGGGAGTATGTGTGTGTATTCACTAGCAAACTTCAAGGTGGACTAGCTGGTAAACAGGAGACTGGGTCTTGTCAGGGGTATCAGGTGGGTGGAGGGTCCATGAATGTGCATGTGTTTGTGAATCTAGAGTGTTGTGTGTGTGCCTTCACTAGTGATCCTCCAGCCAAAGAGGAGGAAGGGGACTTGGCTGCCTATAGTTATGGTTTATGAGAGTCCTGTATGTAAGTGCTGTTGAAGGCAATGGCTTCTCTGTGGCAGTCTGTGTAGCTGGCTGTGTCAGTGTTGTGTGTGTTGGTGTGTGTCTCCGGGATATGTGCTCAGCTTCACTACTGGTTAAACCTGCAAATGGGAAAGCATCAGCTGTGTCCTTCAGCCTGAAGAGAGGCCCCAGGTCCTCCAGCACACCCGACTGAACTACAGTGGCCAGGTAGGAGGAAATCCTGGGCTGGAGCTGCTGGAGGTGGTGGCCACTCTTTACATCACTTAATACTCAAGTGAACTCTACTCCCCCTCTGTATTTCCTCTAACACGTGGAAATATTTTTCTACATTTAACTCTAAGCACTCCCTACTCACCATCACTTTCAGCCTGCATAAGTCGATGCTGATGCTGAGAGAAGTGGGTCACTTTCACTCTCGCCTTCTCATTCTTGTTCCTCTATTTTCCCTCTCCTTTGACTGAAACTAAAATGTCTCTTGTGGTGGGTTGACCTTGGCCGGCTGTCAGATGCCCACCCAGCCGCTTTCTCACTCACTCTCTTCAACAGGAAAAGTGGAGAACATAAGATGAAAAAGCTTGTGGATTGAGACAAAGGGTGATCACTTATCACTTACCATCATGAGCAAAATAGATTCGACTTGGGGAAAATTAATGTTGCCAATTAAAATAGATTTGGATGGTGAGAAACAAAAACCCAAATTAAAACACCTCCCCTTCACACCCACTTTTTCCCAGACTCGACTTCATTCCTGACTCCTTTTACCTCCCCTCACACCCTTAGTGGTGCAAGGGGGGTGGGTAATGGGGAGGTGTGGTCAGTCCATAACAGTTCCTATCTGCCATTCCTTC